ACGGCCAGCACCGGGCTCGGGCCTTCCCAGGTGAGCCACAGCCGCACGGCGAGAGGACGGAGCCTCGGGAGGCAGCAGGGAAGTCCGGGGACTCACGGGGTGTGTCTCTCTCTCTCTCTCTCTCAGGAATCCAGGCCATCCCGTCCCACGGAGGGAAGCTGGAGATCGCGGGCATGGTGGTGGGCCAGTGGGCCGGGAACAAGCCGGTCCGCGGCCGGGGGGGCTTCAACGTGCAGGTGGTGTCGGTGGGCGGCGGAGGAAGAGGGTAGGCATCGCGCAGGGCCTGACGTAGATGCCGCCGTCGGAAAGGCTCTCTTGCGCCGCGGGGCACCGACCATCCCGTCAAGTTTTCTTCTGGAGCGGGGCGGCACAGCGACCCCGGGTTCGATTCCGGACCTGGGGTGCTGTCTGTGTGGAGTTTGCATGTTCAACCCCCCCTACATACTTGTAGGTGAATTGGCTTCAGGAAAAATCAGGCCAAGTGGGAGTGTGTGTGTGTGTCCTGTGATGGGCTGGCGTCCCGTCCAGGACGTACCCTGCCTTCAGCCCATTGCTTGCTGGGATAGGCTCCTACTGCTTGGCGACCCCGAATTGGAAGAGGCGGTCAGAGAAGATGCGATGGTGGGAGAGAGTGTGTGGTGATTTTAGGATGACACGAGACTTTCCAGTGGGAGCTCCACGTGTCTGTGTTGCACATCCGTTGGTGCAGTTTACTCTGCTGTTGTCTGATCTGTTTACAAATCCTTGACTCATTCTTCCTCTCTTTCTCCTCTGCCTCCTACCTCCCTCTCCCTCTCTCTGTCCTTGTGCGTTTCACAGGAGGGGGAGAGATCTGTCGATAAGAGGAAGAGGAGGAAAAAAACCGATGACAAGCAGACCGCAGGTATTGATTTATTGTTGTCAGGGGACCGGGCTTCAGTTATGTTAATCTGGAACAGGCCGTTAAGGAATGGATTTGAGTGGTTTGAACTACTGGGCTACTGGTCCGTCCTGCTCAGGGTATGAGTAGATTGTAATGGACTGGACTGGTCAGTCCTGCTCAGGGTTAGAGTACGTTGGACTGGACTGGTCAGTCCTGCTCAGGGTTAGAGTAGATTGTAATGGACTGGACTGGTCAGT